TTTGTTTTGTTTCTTCTGAAAGTTTTTGGTTGCACCATTTGTTGTTTATTCAGATTTTGTTAATAAAAAGCTGTTTCTTTTTCCTTTTTCACACTTCCACCTGAAGTCTCTTTAATTTCCAAGTTGTAATCTTGTTGAACTAAGACATCTGCTCATGTGAGACCTCACCTGCAGTGCTGCCTCCAGCTCTGGGGTCCCCAGCACAGGAAGGACATCAGCCTGTTGAAGCGAGTCCAGAGGAGGCCACCAAGATGATTAAAGAGATGGAGCACCTCTCCTATACTGGGATTGTTCACCCTGGAAAAGAGAAGGCTGAAAGCTGAAGGGTGACTGTCTTGGTTCCAATCCAGGATAGAGTTAATTTTTGCAGTAGCCAGAAGGGGGCATGGCCAGGACTTGGAGGTTATTCTATACCGTCTGGGGTGGGGGAAGGGAGTCTCTTCCTAGGAGACTGGGTTCCTTCCAGTCAACTAAGTGAGCTGGGGACAGCAGTGGCCCTGCTTCCAAGCCAGAGGCAGCTGTGGGGGGAGCGTGGTGGAGGGAGCAGTTGGGTATTGCCTATTGTCGGGGGGTTTCACGGTGAGCAATAACCTTTCTTTTCTTGTACCCTCTGTCATTATTATTGTTGCTGTTACCGCTGGTTTTCTTATCTCATTACTGTCCACAGTAAATTGTTCTTATCTCAAGAACCCATGATCTTTACCTTTCGTGCCTCCAATTCTTTTCTCCAACCCTGCTGCAGAGGGGAGGGGAAGGGGACGAGGGGAGCAAATGAGCAGCAGTGTGGTTCGGAGAGTCTCAGTGGGAGCACTAAATTGGGGAGCACCATTCCTAAAACATAACAGCCTTATTTGGCACCCCATGTGAGGCTCCAAGGGTTGAGATAACAACAGATCTGCCCAGAGCAGGTTGGAAACAAATTTATCTAAGCATCTGTTGTATTAAGTACAGAACCACTGGTCATGGTGTTGCTTAGTCTGTTCACGTGGATGTGGTACCTAACCTGTGTCTGCCACAGGCTCCGTGGCCACTCCAACTGCAGCTGAACAACTGTGCCAGTAGCAGTTGCCCCTGTATAAAAGAAGAAATCCAAGACAAAATCAGTTTGCTGAAGAGGAAGTAGGGCCCTCAGAACGGGAGGAACAGGCAGGGCCAGAGATAATCACCCAATCCCTGTCCCTGGGGGAGCTGCGGGATACGCAAAAGGATTTCAGCTGCCACTCAGGTGAGCCTCTGGTGACCTGGCTGCTCCAGTGCTCAGGTATCATGGCCCACAATATGGAACTACATGGTAGTGAAGCCAAGTGACTGGAATCCCTGTCCTGGGATGTGGGCATTGGGAAGAGGACAGAAACACTCAGCCTCTGAAGGCAACTCCTGTCAAGCGCAAGGTAAAGGTATTCTCTCAAGGATGACCTAGTAGTGTGCCCAAGCAGGTGGAATGCCATGGAGAAAGATATCGTTCCTGAGAGAATTAGCTGTGCTGGAGGTAATCTAGAGGGATTCAAATAACCAACCCTGGAGATCCAGATGAGGTCCAGTGTACACAATCCACGTGGTGGAAGTTTGTACAGAGCACACCATCATTGTATGCCAGCTCATTGGCACTGATGCCAACAAAAGAAGGAGAACAAGCAGTGCTTCAGGGGGAAATGTCCCACGCCCTGTCAGGATGGACCACAGCCTCTGCTATTGGGAACAAGCCTGCTCGAGAGAGAGGGTACACACCACAAGATAACCTGTGGCTTTGCCTGCATGACACAGAGAGAACAAGAGGAAGTGGGATGGGAAACCCACCTCTGCCCCAGCAGTTGAGAGGAAGAACAACCACTGCAGGAAATTCTTCAAGGATAAATGCTGCTTTGGTTTCCAGTGGGCAAGTCCTCAGACAGAATAGGAGAGCTCACGTTACTTCAGATCCTCTTGAAGGGACCTCCAGGTCATATTTAAAAGAAGTGAGCAACAAGTGCTATGACCAGGACTAAAGGGGCCCTGTCTCCAGCCAGGTAAAGGGACAATTGGATCTATTGGACTGTGTGGATCCCATGGCACATCAGACCCACAAAAGTATAAGGCTTTAGTTGACACCAGAGCACAATGTACCCTTATGCCATTGAGATATGCAGGGGCAGAACCCACCTCTTTTTCTGGGATAACGGGGATCCCAACAGCTGATTCTACTGGAAGCTGAAGTGAGCCTGACCAGGAACAAATGGCAAAGACATCCCATTGTGAGTGGCCCAGAGGCCCCATGCATCCTTGGCACAGATTACCTAAGGAGAGGGTATTTCAAGGACCCAAAAGGGCATTGTTGGGCTGTTGGGCTATCTGCTTGGAGACAGGAAATTGGACAGCTGAATACCTTGCCTGGTCTCTCAGAGGACCCTTCTGCTGTGGGACTGCTGAGAGTCGTTGAGCAACAGGTACCGATCGCTACTGCAGCAGAGCATTGTCAGCAATCCTGCACCAACCGGGACTCTGTGACCCCCATCCAGGAGATGATTCGTGACCTGGATGGCCAGGTCACGGGGCTTGGAGCAACCTGATCTAGTGAAAGGTGTGCCTGCCCATGGCAGAGTGGTTGGAACAAGATGATCTTTAAGGTCCCTTCCAAGCAAACCCATTCTGTGATATTTTATGATATTTGGGCTAGAATAGAGAAAGGAGGATTGTATCTTGGCAGGCTGTGGGGAAAGGGGGCTAGGCTGAGGGAGATGAAGCCTGTTATAGCTTTGAAAACAGACATTGGAATTTTTCCGCAATATCAATTACTGGACAGTGTGTACCTAAATGAAAGCCCCCCCCTTTCCCCCCTTCATCTGTTTTTTCTGGGGTGGGGGGAGGCGGGAAGGGGGAAGGAGTGGGGTTGCGAGCAGAGCGGCATGGGAGTGGGAGAGGCTTTTTTTGAAAACCAGGCATCACCACCCTTTTGTCTGCAGGACTTGCTGTCCACCGACCGACCGACAGAGCGGCAGCCACCTTCAGTTTTGGCCGCCTCCCACTTTTCCCTGAGGAGAATTTTTTTTTTCTTCCCCGCCTGGCACCGTTGTGGAAGAATGATTGGGAGAGCCCCTCGACCGTCTCGGAGCGAAGTGTTCTGCCCCAGGCTGTGGGGCTGCATTATCAGAGCATCTTCCCGCAGGGGCTGCCTGACCCGAGGACCGCATCACAGCCCTGGGACCGGCGGGAAAAAGCCCTTTCATTGTTGGCTCATGGGGCTGGGAGCAGTTGTTGAGCCACCGGGGACAGCCTGCCCTCAGCCCCCCCTGATTTGCCACGGGGACTCCCCCACCTGGGAAATTACGACTTTGGTTTTTTTGAAAGTTTTGGGTGCACCATTGTTGTTTGTTCGGGTTTGTTAATAAAGAGCTGTTATTTTCCTTTTTCACACCTTTCGCCTGAAGCCTCTTAACTTCAAAGTTGTAATAATGTAGAGGGAGGAGGTTGGCTCTTCTTTTCTGGCCCTCCCTCCTTAACGGATATTTGCGTCTTGCTAAACTAAGACAAGCCAATAATCATTAACTGGCTTAGATGAAATCCAAGCAGGAAAGAGTTCAAATTATTGAAAAATGGCAAAATGCACCAGTGTGAGGGGTGACAGCATACAGTGCTCAAAAGCTAACAATAAAACCAGTCAGCCTGGACAGCAGGGAAGACGTCTTTAAGAGTCAGAGCAACCAGACAGGGGATCAGGCTCCCAAGAGACAGTCAAGACACCAGAGTGTTTCCAGCAGAAACAGGTAAGATAAGAGAGGGATTGGCATGTAGAGAAATGTGTTTTGTGATGCAGAGTTCAGGCTTGAGGTTTTCCTCAGCTGTGCACTGTGCCATTAAGATACAAAGAATTCATTACAGGTCTGCCATACTTCTCAAGAGCTTGATGACAGATTGTGCAACATTATGAGTATGGAAGAAGTACAAGGAAACAGCACAAGAAAAAAAACCCCAAACCACCAAAAACCTCTTTTCTTCTCTGATTCCAATTAACAGTGAAAATAAATTAAAAAGTGTGCTCCTTTTGCCCACTCCTGCAAAATCAACAAGGGTTGGACACAGGTTATCTACTGTCTAGGGTACATTTCTGTATGGAAAGCCCTTCCCCTCTCCTATCCATGTGGATCTTGCTTGAGTTTGCTAATCCTCCCAGCTGACAGCATAGTAACAGAGGAGGCACTTTCATCCAGCAGTCAAGGACAACATTTTGTAATGTCGACCTAGCTTTGGGCAGGTCTTGCTGTTGAGTTGCATTTGAAATATACTTATTTTTATAAAAAATTATGAGGTTTTGGTTGTTTGTTTTTGTTTTTACATAGTAAAAGTTGAGAGTCTGATATCACATGACACGAGGAACCTGTTCTTAGAATTAGTCTACAATGCCCAGGCCTTTAAACTGGCCCAGATGTTATCTCCTATTGTAATAACAAGAAAAGCTATGAATATATATGTTGAACAGATATGAAATTAAAACTTAAGTGTTTCTATAAATTTCTAATAATCCAGAAAATAATACCAACTTTGGAATGTAAATATTTCAGATTTTGCTGTAAGTTCTTCTGTTTCATATCATTATTCTACTCACCAGCTGTCACACTCTGTGAGGGAGGGAGACTGTGACGTAGACATTTAGACTTAATGTTCCTTGTTGAAATAATGAAATAGATTTTCTAATCTAGAGGAAAACAAGCTGCATTTTGTATTATCTATTAGGAACAAACAAAGAAGATAAGGAGGGAAGTTTTTTTGAAATTGAGAGTGTATTACCAAATCTGAACTTTTTAGCTTCTTCAGAAAGAGAAGGGTATGTTTACTTGAATGCAAGAGGGAAAAAGACTAAGTTATGTTTAAACACAGCATAAACATTAACTACTCATATTCTTTGTAACTACTGCTCTAAGCAGCACAAACCCATCTTACCACATTTAGTTGTTTAACAAGGAGGCGATAACCCAAAGCACCCACAAAAGTGCTGGGAAATAAATCACGCACCATTACATCAGCCAAGCAGCCAATTCCTGCTGATAAGGGACGCCTGCTGCCTCTGCTTCGGGAAAGGCCAAGATCACTGCTCTTCGGTCTACACGCAGGGGGTACTAGCCATAACTTCATTTTTCCACACTGCTTCCCCCCCTCTCCCGGCCGCTCCGGCCCCTTCCCGGCCCAGCACTCTTTGTGCCGCCGCTCCAGCGCCGCCGCAGCTCTGGGGCACAAAGTAGTCCCGGCCTCACGCGCCAGTGTTCCTCCGCCTCGCAGACGGCGGAGGGAGCGAGGGGAAGCAAAGTAGTCCCACTGGAATGCAACGGCGGCCACCGCCTCGCCCCGTTCCTGTCCGTGTCCCTGTGCTCGGGGGGTGCCGCAGCCCCAATCACCCTCCCTCCCGGGCGGAGCCCCGTCGGGCTGCGGTCCCCGCCGGGCTTTCTCGGCTGCGGAGCTTCCGGACGTGTGCGTGATCCCGCCCGTGTAAGAGAGGCTCCGCGCCCTCGCCTCTCTGCGCCGTCCTGGCGACGGAGCGGTGCCAGGCGGGCGGGCGCTGCGCCGGGCGCCGCCGGGCACGGCGCGGAGAGGAAGGAGAAGGAGGAGGAGGAGGACTGTATCCCTGCGCCTGTGCGCGCCTGGCGGAGGGTGAATGGGGGAAGGAGTGCGGCGCTGGCGTGAGACGCGCCGCGGCCGGCAATGGAGGGCAGCGCCCGCTCCCCGGCGGCGCGCCGGAGGCGAGGGGCCTGCTAGGACGGGCGAGGGGGAATCTCCGCGGCCGCCTTCCCCGCCTCCGCCCCCTTTCCCGCCGCCTCCCCCGCGCCTGGAAGCATGAATCGGCAGCGGAGGTGCTGCCTCCTCGCCGCGCCTCCCGCCGGTGAGAGCGAGGAGGGAGGGAAGATGGGGCCCGTCCTGCGCAGCCTACTCGCCTGCAGTTTTTGTTCCTTAATGAGAGAGGTGAGCCGGGCGGCGCGGCGGCGGAGGGCAAGGAGAAAGTTGCCGGGTTGGTGGCGAGGGGCCATGTTTGGCGCGTTGCGGGAGGGAGCGGCGAGGCCTGGCTGCTGGCGGGGCGGGGCCCGGCGCGGGGATAGCGCTCTCTCCCTCCCTCCTGGCCGCCGCCTTCTCCCCGCTTTGGGAGCAACTTATACCCAGCCGAGCCGGGAGCTGCCCGCCCTACAAGCGGCCGCCGGGCACCTCCCGAGCCGCCCTATTGTTGTTTTCAAGTTTGTTTTGGTTGGGTTTTTTTTGTTTGTTTCTTTTTGAAAAAAAGAGCCCCCCAAACTAGCGTACGTCCCCCATCTCTCCGCACCCCCCAGCAGTCTGTGGGCTCCAGCGGCTCTGGGGCATAGCTCGGCCACGCCTGTGTCAGGCTGGTACCGCTGTTCCCATTACCAGGCTTCTCTCGTTTTCCCCCCGAGTATCGATCCTGCCGGGTGCGGGAGTAGCGCAGAGCCTCGCCTGTTCGACGTGGGGAGGCTGGAAAGTGCCCGGGAATTGGTGCTTCACCGACACTCTGCTCGCAGCGAAGTGAGCGAGAGGAGGAATGAATGCTCCTCTCAGCTGGGCTGGCTCTGCGCTGGGACTTCAGAGAAGTTTGTGTTTCACGGATGAACCACCACGGATCTTCATACAGCTTTAAATCAGCAGTCGAGTGCCTTACTAGGGGATGTCATTTAAAGTAGCCCAGAATTTTGATTCCGCTTCCCAGCTCCAACAGAATTTCTCGTCTTGCAGGGCACAATCTGAAAGAAAACAGGATTATTATATTTTTTGTTTTAATGCTGTAAATCTAACTACTGTAGCTATTTCTCTGGGTTCAGTATGTCTGGGAAGAAATGGTCTGTGGTGTTTGCATGCATCATTTTGCTGTTTATTTTTTTCATACTAGATGGGGAAGAAGTTAATTGCTTACAATTTATCAACGACACTTTCATTTAGAAAATTCATTCGTGCTAGAGTGTTTCGATTAAGATTAGACTAACTCAGGCTAGGTGGTGTAGGTTGAAGTAACTGCTCTGTCTCCAGTTGCTCAGTACTCTTGAAAAACAAAGATTTTCGTCTCTTCCATGGCCTTTTTTTCCACCCTGTGCATCTGTTTGCCATATTGTATCCTGTTTGCAGAGATACAAATACACTTATTTAAATGGTACGTGTAACATTTCGTACTTCTGTTGTAGCAGTTAAACCCCAATTTTCGAAAGTTAAGTTGAGTCTGGAGTATAGGGAGAAACGGTTTCCTGATTAGTTTAATAAGTAACAATCATGCCTGTTCTTAACATACCGTGTTTGTCTTTAATGTTCAACTTAGTTCAAATGACAGCACAGAAATAGCTGTTGTATGTGATGTCACATAATATTGTTCCTTTAATTTCTTCAAATCTTAACACAGTGACGTGTGCCTTTGCAAATTTATGTATACTTGATGCTTAATAGGACACTTTGAAGAAGCATTCAGTTTATAAATTATATGACTGTCATTTATTTTCTTGTCTCTCATCTCTATTGCCAAGGACATTTGTATCCAAACGGCATTTTTGTTTCTTCTGTGTTCATGGTTCCCCGCTGTCTGATCACCTACCTGAAGTCATAATCTGTTTGTGACACGATAGTAATTTTCCTACTGGCTAATTGTTACTTTAGATAGAGATAAACAGCAGGAACAGCTGAACCGTGAAGAAACAAAAATCAAATTTTAATGCATACATCCTCCCTAATAAACAGCATCTATGCAAGTGGAATTGGTTCAAATGAGATGTGTTGAGTTCAGAAGAGGTGTCAGCAGTTCCTTAATGAGGCAGAGGCAATGCCAGCATGAGTATGAATAAGCCTGTACATGAAAGTAGAGGTGAAGTTATGAAGTTCACTGTTTGGTTTGTGAATTCAGTACTGTGGAGGATGCCAAGCCAACAGCGCTGGAGACAGAAACTCAGAAAATGTAATAGTGTGTGTTTGTGGATTACAGCATCTTCTCTGCTTCCAGAACTAGCCTCCCTGTTCTTGTAAAAAAAGCAAATGGATGGAGGTTTACACAACTGAACTGTGGTCAGTGCTCTGAGGGAACTATGGTAGATTTGTTTAGCTATCTGGTAAGGAGTAAAATTGGTACCCTGGAAATATATAAGGACTTGAAGAAGTATGAGACTATTACTGGCTAGAAACTCATGCACAGGGCAAGGCACCTCTCTGTCAAATCATCCGAGGACTGTGATAAACCAGATCCTGCTGATGTTTTCAGGGCTAAGATTCTAAGAGACATGTCCTGACAGCTTGCTGTGGAGGTTCTGTGGTTTGGGGTTGGTTTTTTTTTTTTTTTTTTCAGTGTTATGGCTGATGGAAGAAAGAGGTCACTGGTCTCTGTTCCCCCCTCTTGGCCCCTGGTTTGATTTGGGGGATTGGGCTTCCACCTCCCTGACCATCAACGGTGCTTGAAGCTGCTCCCTGAGGTACGTTGAGGAGCTGTTTCGTGTGAGCTTGGAGGTGTTCTTCAGGACAGCTGTGAAACCAATCAGCTCGGTAATTGTTAGATAATTGACAGCTGCAAAGAGGCAAAAGCAGAGGTATCGCATCTGTCAGGGTGCTACAAGTAATTGCGAAACTGAGGGTTTGACTTTTTAAATAGTCATAGAGAATTATTCCTCCACCAGTATTCATGGCTTGCTTTTCTTCCTGAAATAGCTCTCCAGTCAGCATGCAATTGCGGTTTTGTTTTGGTTTTAAACCCTGATCATGCAGACAGTGCATAAAACTCTTGTTTGAATAGGAATCTTATAAATGATGTTTGTGCAGATCTACTGAATATTGCAGACCTCTGTGCTTAAGGTCAGTTAGTGAAGAAATGAAAATGCCTCTTTGCTAATGGGCATTTTAAAACTACACTTCCCTCTTAGCATTCCGAAGAGGGTTTGTATTAATCCATTATTATCGTTTTAATATTGTTATTATTTTAATTGGTTTTAATCTGTTGTTTCTTGGTTTTCATAAACAGATTGTTGCTTTTTTGCATTTTTTTTTTTAGGTAGATTCATTTACATGTTTTTAGAAGAGCTTAATGTTCAGGACTTGCTAAGCTGTAACTGGTGTTGCGTGCATGTATTTTTCTACCAGAAGTCAGAGAAGGGAACAAGGAGTAGGTTTTTACTTCTGAAGCACTGAGGTTAGAGATGAAGTGTGGTGTTTCCAGTGTGGTTTGTGCCTTCAGGTGAAGGGTCTCTTCACCTTGGACTGTACAATACTGAAGTGGTCTATTTCTTCACCCCAGCTTGAATTAGCTATTTTCTAGTCATGTTTCTTCATTATATGATGCCTCAGAAATCAGTGTACCTTTGTCTGCCGTGATTTCCAATGCATTTTCCTCTTTTATCTCTTCATAAAACAGTCTGAGATTTATGTGATCTAACGTGTTACAAAATCCACCATTACTTTAATAGTTCTTGCAATTGCATGTGATATAGTTCACTTATCAGATTGCTGTAGCTTGTATTTAAAACTGAAAAATTAGGACTTAGACAGTTTGATGGCATTTTTTGCTATGTCTTGGAGGTAAGGTGAAGCAGCATTTTTGGCAAGGTGCACTGAAGATATAGGGAAGTTCTGGGTATAGGGTGAAACTCTGTATCTGGTCAGAGGTGTATGCAGGTGAAGGATCCCTCAGTATGAGTTATATGAAGATAATCAGGTGGAAAGCTTTGTTCTTGTTTGACAGCAGTAATGGTTAGGGTGGCATGAACTGTATTCGTATTTCCTTTCCCTAGTGACTTGATACAGTCAGCATTTCCTGAGTTCTAGGTAAGGAATTTGGCTAGAAGCTGCAGAACATGTAGAAAGGGTTTTTGTTTTTTTTTGCTTTTTTTTTTTGTTTTCAGGAAGAGAGGTGAGGATAGGGCATACAAGACCCTTTTAAACTCTGTGTTTGGAGGCTGGAGAAATCTGATTCCTTTGGACATGTGTAATCCACTTTTATAATGATGTCGCATCTCAAAAATACCAGCATTAAAAATATTTGCTGCAGTGCACATGACATGGAATTTACTTTAGTTCAAATTGAGTAGAGCAAAGATATTTTTTCTTCCTTCTGAGAGGGTGGGCTAGGAGAAGAAAACAGGGAGAAACAGGTCTCAGTTTCTGATCTATCACCATTCATCTCCTCTGGCAGCCAGCATGCAGACTTAAATGCTATATTCTTTGTCCCCAGCATATTTAACCTCATTAATTTCCCATGAAATGTTAAATACTTGGGTTGCTTTGCCGGTGGTTTCTTCAAAAGAGTCCTGTTCCTTGTACTCTAGGGAGGGGTATGTGTTATTGTTGAGTGGCACCAGAAATGTAGTTGTAATTAAAGCTTTTTTGCATGCTCCTGCTTCTGGCTGAGCTGGTGGCTCAGCCGTGTCTGGGGGTGTGCTCAGCTCCTCTTCCAGTTCTCCTGCTGGGGAGCCCTCACATTTCAACCCAGTCACTTGAGAGATTCGGGTGGTAAACTGCCACCCACTTCTTTGGTGGCATGGTGGCACGTGGGGGTCATTTGTACTTTGAGAGTGGTTGTTGTCAATGAGGCAGTGTTATGTTGACATGGATTTTCCCCCAGATGGACTTTTACCAGTAAGTGATTTGAGTTGCTTAGAAAGATATGGGGGGGATGCAACTGCCTTGAAGACTTCAGGGATGGTCTGTTCACATTTATAGTTGGCATTACTAACTTAAAAGTGAACCCTTGAACCTAATTGCTGTGGCTCACCAAAGATTGGTGTGTGCACTTGAGGTGCACAGTGAGTGAGTTCTTGCACACAGTGAGTTATTGCACTTCTGTAATTCTTTGTAATGATGATTCTCCTAAAGT